AAGATACTTTTAGTACCGCCCTCGGTGGTGTAGTAGTTAGCGCTGCGGACTACAAGCCGAGAGGTCGTGGGTTCGAATCCCACCAGGGATATGGCTGTTTATTTAAATAGCCACTAACTTCAGTATTTTGGAAACAGAAGTTCTGTTAAATTCTACTGATACAGAAGTATACCAAATGGCGGAAAACATTCGTAAAATATATGAAGATGATATTTTAGACTTCAATTAATGGCTTTTCAAAAATGCTTTTCAAAAATGTTTTTCTATGAAACTGTTTCATAGAAAAACATTTTTGAAAAGCATTTTTGAAAAGCCATTAATTGAAGTCTAAAATATCATCTCATTGAAACAACAGGGGAAACTGTCAAATGTCACATTTTTAGATTTTATAAACACAATTATAAAGGTTATAAATCGAAATGTATTTGGAAATTTAACAGTTTTTCACAGTGAAAGTAAAGGAAATGTTTTATGAGGACTTTACAGTAGAGTCCGTGCCCGAATTTAAGTTATAGTTTACTGCCGGCGAAATTAAAAGGTCAGTACAATGTTCATATAAACTTTTCAAATATTGGCGTTGAGAAACTATTTAATATTTTTGTATTTTTGTATTGAGATAATAAAATAATTTTCACATTTAGTATTATTTTACAAGAAAGGCACTACACAACTAACTTAAAACTAACTTCAGCCCGTGACTAAAGCGCCGTAAAGCCACAACTTGTCAATGTGTATTTAAAAGGTCACTTAGTGTCATGGAAACTTGTACGATAAAGGGCGTTTTAAAGGTGGGAGCAGAAAAAAAAAGTAATTAGTACAAAATAAAAAAACACCTAGAGGCCCGTGGGTATAGCCTGGAACCCGGGCCCGTTGGGTTGTTGCTACGGCGCTGGTCCACGCCAACCTTACCGCATAAAAATGTACTCATTGCATACTTTGCATGTAGGTACTCGAGTACACGGGAAAGTACTCGAGTACATTTTTGCAATCTTAAATGTATCAAGTACAAGTATAATTACATTCAAATTAAAGTACTCGGGACCGAGTACCGAGTACACTGAAAGTACTTGGAGTACAGTGTTTGAGTACTTGTACTCGAGTACCGCACAGCTCTGGCACCGAATCAATATGTTGATGAGGTTAACAACAGTTTTAAAAAATGGTGCACCAGAAATCGTTTTAATTATTTTAAATTCTGAAAAAACTGAATATGTATACTTCTCTCTCCGTTTAAGTGGATTGAGTAATTAATAACCTTAATTTAAAAATATCGAAAAAGGTTAAATTTTTGGGGCTAATAGTGGAACAGTCTATCTTATACATCACTCTTAAATGCCTATTATGGACTTTTTTACTCGCATATATCTTATAATATAATTTTTTGGGGAACGTTGTATGGAATTTATATATATATATATATATATATATATATATATATATATATATATATATATATATATATATATATATATATATATATATATATATATATATATATATATATATATATATATATATATATATATATATATATATATATATATATATATATATATATATACAGGGTGTCCGGAAAAAGGAGGTCAATCCTTTAACCATATATTCCTTGAGTTAAAACAATAAGACTTTCATAATACCATTTTTCAATTTAGAGCTTCATGTTCGATATACAGGGCGACAAAGTTTGAAATTTAAAACAGATATTTTTTAATAATTCGAGTAATTAATAAGGTATTAAGTTCAAATTTGGTACACTATTTCAACATAAATAGTTACATCTTTTGAGATCAACAAAACAAAAAACAAATGTCAAATAATCAAAATAGGGGGGGTCCAGTACTCACTGACCCCCCCCTATTTTTTAGTACGGGCGCCAGTGACTTCCAAACGGTATTTTTTCAGGTAATCATTTAGTGTTGAACATTTTTTGTCTCTTATAAAATTTTGATGAAATGATTTGTTTTAGAGATAATTTGTAAAGTATTGGTCCTTGATTGATGCCCACGCGGCTTATGGCAATCTCATAATTTTCAAATGTAGTACTGGACCACCCTATTTTGATTATTTGACAATTGTTTTTTGTTTTGTTGTCCTAAAAAGATGTAATAATTGTCAAATAATCAAAATAGGGTGGTCCAGTAGTACATTTGAAAATTATGAGATTGCCATAAGCCGCCTGGGCATCAATCAAGGACCAATACTTTACAAATTATCTCTAAAACAAATCATTTCATCAAATTTTTGTAGGAGACAAAAAATGTTTAACACTAAATGATTACCTGAAAAAATACCATTTGGAAGTCACTGGCGCCCGTACTAAAAAATAGGGGGGGTCAGTGAGTACTGGACCCCCCCTATTTTGATTATTTGACATTTGTTTTTTGTTTTGTTGATCTCAAAAGATGTAACTATTTATGTTGAAATAGTGTACCAAATTTGAACTTAATACCTTATTAATTACTCGAATTATTAAAAAAAATCTGTTTTAAATTTCAAACTTTGTCGCCCTGTATATCGAACATGAAGCTCTAAATTGAAAAATGGTATTATGAAAGTCTTATTGTTTTAACTCAAGGAATATATGGTTAAAGGATTGACCTCCTTTTTCCGGACACCCTGTATATATATATATATATATATATATATAAATAGTATTATGAAGTTTGTTTTTAATAACTTCCCAACTAATAGTAATTTTCACTCATATACCACAAGAAGTGGCTCAAGATTATGTGTTCCGAGACACACAACTTCTTTGTTTAAAGAGTCACCCTATTTTTCTGGAATCAATTTTTTTTAACAATTTGCCTAATTAAGGAAACAAAAAATTATAATGTGTTTAAAAGAAAACTGAAAGACTTTTTAATTGAGGAATGTCCTTTTGAACTGAATAAGTTTTTAGAGTATATTTTATTGTAGTTCGTGTATTGTATTTCTGTGAATTGTCCTATACATATGAATGTTATATATGTCAATTGGATTAATAAAATTATTATTATTATTATTAATGACCAATGCTATCAAGACTTTGTAAAATTTGATTTTAATGGTAGTTCTCGCTTCGTTAATCATTATGCTACAAAATTTAAAATACATATTTTGAAAGTTGAAATGGTCTTCATAAAAACCACCATAAAACATCGAGGAGGATTAATAATGTTATAATTAAAAAAAAGAGATGAATATTAAAACTTATGTAAATTTATACAAACTTTTTAAAATTGCACTTTTATTGCATGCCATAAAGCTCAACTGATTTAGGTATACCTACATAAAAAAATTATTCTTTAGTTTATTATTCGTGTTTTCTTTTATTTTTATTATTAAAAATAAAAGACAACAAGAATAAAACAAAATCTTAAAACGAGTGTATTAAAAATTCCTGACAGTCGAAAAAAAATCCCTAGAGCTAGATAAAAAATCACTAATTTGGCAACACTTTGATTGCATCAATTGTTCATTTATAAAATTATCATTTTATAAAATATATCATTTACCTACCTATATCATTTTATAAAATTACATTATTTTGAGAATAAAACCTTTTTAAAAAGAATTGAAACAAGAAACATAAACTTCTTTGATTAAATATTTAATTTTTAAATTTAATAGTATATTATGTATCAAGTTTGATAAACGCCATCCTATACACGAATTTAATTTAGGCAGCTTGCGAGCGAGTGCTTAAATTAATGAGTGTATAGAAAAGTTTATAAACGAGGTGCATACTATACTTTTTCTACGACAAATATTATTAACTCAAAATGATTTCAATCAAAAATTTGTATAGAGCGCCATCTATGAAACAATAGGGGAATCTGTGTGTCACCGTCGAATGTCACATTTTTCTATTTTATAAACACATATTATAAAGGTTATAAATCGAAATGTATTTCTTGAAAATTGACAGTTTTTCACAGTGATAATAAAATAATTTTCACATTTAGTATTATTTTACAAAAAAGGTACTTTATTTTAACGTTTGTATGACATTCGAAAACTGTAAACTAACTTAAAACTAACTTCAGCCCGTGACTAAAAACCTGTTGTTAATTTCAGCCCGTGACTAAAGCGCCATAAAGCCACAACTTGTTAATGTGTATTTAAAAGGTCAGTATCATGGAAACATGTACGATAAAGGGCGTTTTAAAGGTGGGAGATACCTTGTTCGAAAGTACTTACATTCGTCCCTAATGCTATTTAATGCTATTAGGGACGAAAGTACGTACTTTCGACCAAGGTAAACTTTCGTCTCTGCTATTTCGGACGAAAGTAATTACTTTTGACCGATGTATGAAGAAAAATAGTATACACCACACGGGCCAAATGAAATCTCGTCTCATGATGACGCGCAGGGCCGAAAATTAAACTTTCGGCCCTTGTAGTGTAATCTACTATATATGACCATAGAAAAATATTCAAGCCAACTTTTACAAACCCAGCGAGAATTTTACCATTAAATAGGTACCTATTATTTCGGGAAAATACAATTAAATCTGGTTTAAAATTTTGTGTTGCATTGTGTTATGGGAGAAATAAATATAAAGGATATTAAACCTCTTATGTAATTAAAGAATTAATCAATTAATTAATTAGGTAATTGAAAATTTAAAAAAACTGACCTTATATAACTATAATTATCTACCTACTTATATTAAATATTAAAAGTTATTCATTTAAAATTTTAATAATTGTAAAAACAGGTAAATAAGGGTTAAATATGGATTTATAATTTTAAAGGCATTTCTTTTTATTTCTTTGAAAAATTGTTTTCCTTAATGTTCTTGGTTTTGTATTTTTGGTTTTAGTACCATAAAAACATAAATTTTTTTAATATTTTTGAAAAAATTTTGTATTATAAAATAACCTTGTTTTATTATTATCACATCAGTATAATAGGCTGTATTTTACACAATACACTTAAAATCTGACACAAAGGTTATCTTCGAAGTAAAAAAACATTTGAATGTAACAGATTTAATAATATTTAATATTAAACTATATATGTCTGTGACATAAGCCTGTTAAAATGAGGTTTACATTCTTCTTCTTCTTCTTCTTTCTAAGTTCGGTATTGACAACCTTGGTGCTTGGAATCTAGTCCATGTGACCATATGCTTGTAGTTGGGAACTAAGGTCCTGGATGTTTTATCCCAGGATCTCTACACCCCAAAATGACCCTCTTCGAAACAGTTTCTTCCAGAGGCAATGTAGACTTCCAGGTATTGTGATGGAAATGATTTGAGAGGAATAAACTTGATAGGTAAGGATGGTAGAACGGAAAAATGTAGGAATCTAGAGCACATCATAAATTTAAATTAGATTCTTTTAAGAAAGAAAAAATTAGCCTATACGTATCTAAATGAAATGAAGCAAGCAATGGGATACTTGCTAAAGGTGGATGATGCCCCAGGGCTAACAATTTGTTATACAAATTATTACAATTATGTTGGTTATTTTGACAATTAAATAAAATATGGTTGATACTGCCGAATTCTCCGCACACACACAAGGGATCTTCTTTTACACCAATACGGTTCATATGTTCCGGGGTTAGGCAATGCCCCAGCCTAATTCTAATTAATGTTGTTACAAATTTTCTTCCCACAAACTCGGGTAAGTAAAACCACGGAATCCGCCAATCCCTTCCCGAACTTGCATAACGTTTGCCTCTGGTAATCTTAGAGCTGTTCCAATAATCTTTCCATTTTGAGTATAAATTATCTCTACTCAATTTAACAAAGTCCATCCACGGAATTTTGACTCTGCTCATTGGCATATCTGCACCTTTTTTTGCTAATAAATCTGCCTTCTCATTTCCAGAGATTTCCATATGTCCAGGAATCCAGCAAAGAATCCCTACACAATTTTCCATGGCCAAATCGTGAAATATTTCCCTAATGCTTATAATAAGGTTATTCAGGGTAGTAGTTTTGTTGGAATGGGAGACAATAGACTGGATGCCACTCATTGAATCGGAGAAGATGACGAATTTTTGGATTTTTCTCTCCAAACAAATACAAGCTGCCTTAAAAATGGCCCATAATTCAGCGGTGAAAATTGAAGCTGCTTTATCTATATTGCATGAGAAATTAATTTGGAGATTTTCACTGTAAACCCCATAAGATGTAGACACTGAGGGAACCACTGATCCATCAGTGAAAATATGGGTAAAGTCCGGCCATTTTTTTTTAGTTACCTCCTTAAAGATGGAATTATTAAACGTTTTCAGACGTGGGTCCCTGGGTATTCCCAAATCAAGGCAATGGGGAATTTTGATCTTACCTTTAAAATAATCCGAAGAATAGATAGGGAGTTTATTTTTCACAGAAATGCGGCAGCGAACGTCTGCTAGATTATTCATAGCCAACACCAGATCATTTTTTTCAGCAGAGGCACCACGAGCATTTATGCTCGTCCTTAGAATTTCAATGTGATAAATAACTGGATTATTTGAAATAGAAAAGTTTTTTAATAGAAATTTATCAGTTAAAAAATGTTTTCGGAAACGCAAAGGGGGTTCACATGCCTCAATCTGTAGGGCGTTTGTAGGAGATGATCTCATTGCTCCTAGGCAGACACGAAGAGCTTGGAATTGAATTTTATTGAACCTTGACTCGTTTTTGAGTGTAAAATAGTTTATTAATATTAAGCCGTAGTCAATTCTGCTCCTAATTAATGCTCTATAAATGTACAAAAGGGTTTTGGGGTCTCCTCCCCATCTGACACCAGTTAGACTCTTTAGGATATTTAAATATTTTGTGCATTTTGAACTCATGTCTAGGACCTGTGCATTCCACAGTAATTTTGAATCCAAAATTATTCCCAGGAACTTATTGGTATTGACACTAGGAATAGGAGCACCCTGAAGGGAAATGCTATTAAATAGGGGAATTCTCTTGGCAAAAATCATATCTCTACACTTACCAGGGTTCAAACTAAGACCTCTTTCTGAAAGCCAAGAGTATACCGACTCAATTGCACGAGACAAACGATATTCCAGCAAGTTTTGATCCTTATGTGTGGAAAAAAGGACTATGTCGTCCGCATACTGGAGGAAACGTACTCCGATAGGCAGAGCATCCTCAATCTTTCTAACATATACATTGAATAGAACGGGACTAAGCACGGAGCCCTGAGGAAGGCCCAAACGAGATAAACGAGAAATTTCCACACCAGAATGACGCATGATAAAGTGTTTTTCCTGGGTTAAATTGAAAATTAACGATGCTAAAAATTGAGGAATGCCCATTTCTATTAGATCATTATAGAGGATATCCGGCAAAACCCTATCGTATGCAGACTCAATGTCGAGGAACAATGCTCTGGTTGCAGATCTTTGCATAAATCCAGTTTGAATTGCCGAAACGAAAATAGATACGCAGTCAATTGTGCTCCTTCCTCCCCTGAAGCCGAACTGATTAACAGGTAAAAGGTCCTTGTTTTCAATCCACCATTGAAACCTGTTTTTAATGAGATGTTCAAAGACTTTTTTAATACATGATGTCAATGCTATAGGTCTATAACTATTGTACAAATTTGGATCTTTATCCGGCTTCAAAAGAGGAAAAATCACAATCTCTCTCCAACTTGTAGGGACGGCCTCTCGTCCACTCAGTAGGTCATTGAAAAATTTTAGGAGAAAAAGGAAACCCTCTGGAGCCATGTTTTTTAACATATTATATGTGATCCCGTCCTTGCCCGGAGCGGAATCTTTGACCTTATTTAACACCTCAGAAAGTTCAAAACGGGAAAATGGATTCAGCAAAGGGTGCGGATCATTGTTATTTATCGTTAGGTCGATGGGACCGGGACAAAATGAGGGAGCAAGATTATCTATGAATTGCTCCTTCCAAAGTTCATTATCAGCAGTAAAGGCATTTTTTCTGAAAAGACCCGTTTTAAACCTTTTAATGTTGTTCCAAACTTCTGTGATATTGGAGTTTCTATTTAGGCTCTCTGCAAAAGTTTGAAAGGCCAAACGTTTTTTTTCCCTAAACTTCCTTCTAGTGATCGCACATACTTTTTTATATGTAATGAAAGATTCTCTGGAACCCGAAGAATTGAATGCGCGAAGAGCACCTTCACGATTTCTAACACAATCCTTGCACTCTTCGTCCCACCAGGGGGACACTTTATGAAATCTCAACTGACTCTTCATTGGGACAGCCCTATCGGTTGCCTGTAATAGCGAAATAATGAAGTTTTCATAATTGATCGGCCCCGATCTAAATATTTGAGTGCAGACCTCGTAAAATAGTAACCAATTTGCCTTTTTAAAATTTCTCTTAGGAAATGTGTGAGAAAGAGTAGTCTGCAGGCTGACCGGCATACAATTGTAGTTAACTGAAATTGGAAAGTGATCACTGCTATATGTACTAGTCATCGTTTCAGAGTTACAAAGCAAAGCAATATTAGGTGAGCAAATTGCCATATCAATTACACTTCTACTTTGAAAAGATAGGAGAGTTGGTTTACAGTCGTTCAAAATGACTAAATTGTTATCATTAATGTACTCAAAAAGAACTCTACCATTAGCATTTGAAAAGGAACTACCCCAACTAATATGATTGGAATTACAATCTCCAACCAAGATATATTTGTTACCCAGAAAAGAAAAAATATCATGCCAAAACCTTTTAGTGGATTTAAATAACGGAGCAATATAAACTGTGCAATAAATGCAGTCGTTAATTTTGATAGCTACCGCTTGAACCTCGTTAAATTGAAAATTCAAATCAACAACAAAATATCTGATATTACGTTTTATTAGAAGGGCAGCTCCTCCTTTGCCATCAGCTCTGCAGCAAGGTTCAAAATTGTATTTAGAGTGTGAGAAAAATTGTTGGTTATTGGGTTTAATCCAAGATTCGGAGATTGAAATTATATCTGGATTGTTATTATGAATTAAGAGTTCTAACTCGTGGCGTTTGTTAACTATACTTCTTGGGTTCCAGTGAATTATACTAACCATAAAATTTAAATAGATTCGTTATCACTCCCCATGACCATGACTTCATTTGCCTGATCAGGGTTGCAATCGACCGAACCAAAAAATTCATTATATAGCTGAATTAACAAGTCTGGATTAGACTTGGATAATTGAATAAATAGCTGTAGGAAAGTGTTATTAACTTCAGGTACCTCAGTGGACGATTGAGTAGTACTTGACTTTGAAAAGCACGGTGATTTTTGAGGACTATTTGGAAGCCTTCCGCTTTGGTTGACGTGGGCCTGCTCTGAGAATTGGGCTGATCTTTTAACCGGTTGGGAAACCACCTTTGAAATAACTTTGGTAAATTTTCTATTTTTAGAGGGTGAATGTTCCACACTGTCATCAGGAACAGTTTGTGAAGAAAGGGGGGGAAATTGACTGGATAAAGGATTAAAAGTCGAATTTTCATTAGGGGAAACCGAGTTTTTAATCCTAGGAACTTTTTTGGAAGCCTCAAAAAATGTAAGTTTATACTTAGCCATAATTTCTTTGATGGTTTTTTGTCTTAGGAACTCTGGGCACTTTCTATCTTTGAAAGGAGTCCCTTTTTCAGTGGAGGAATGAGCTTTATCACAAAATTTACATTTAATCACACAGGAGTTATGAGAATCTTTATTCTCCATCTTGTCCCCACATTTGTCACATGATTCGAAACCTTTGCATTGAGAAATGGTATGCCCGTAGTGCAAGCATCGAAAGCATTGAATAACCGGCTCTATATATGTGGAAGTCAAATGTGAGGAATAGAAAAGGTCCATACGTTCTGGGATGTATTTACCCCTGATGGAGAATATGACCATTGAAGTATTTACAATATTGATATCACCGTCTTTTGTACGTTCTTTTCTTTTAATCCTTCTTACCTCTAGGATATCCCTTTTAGTATTCATAGCCGCTAGGTTTTCCTTAATTTCTTCTTCTGTGAAATCTACATCGACGTTTCTAATAAGACCTTTTGTTGAGATTAAGTGTCTTGGAATTGAGGCAACCAGATTATTATTTTTCAAAAAAGTTTCGTTATCCAAGAATTGATTGGCGGATTCAAAAGTTTTAAAATAAATTGCAGATCTGTTTTTACCTCTTTTTGTAACCCGAATAATATTAGGCAATTTATCAGTAAATAAGGACTTTCCCAATTTTTGATGATTTAAAATGGATAAATCCATTGATTGTACGTTAATGACAAATGGTCCCGGATCGTATAAACCGTATCTAATTTCATTGTACATTTTATTTAATTCAACATAATGTTCAGTTTTTTCACGCTCCGTTTTTTCACGCTCCGTTTTTTTATCAAAAGAATGCGTTTTTTGTTTGTCAGCTAATTGCGATGTAATAGCGGCAGGAGTATCTCCAAGTGATAGGAGACCCTCAGCAGCATCAATCAAATGTTTATCTACTACTTTATCATCTAAATAATTGTTAGCCCCTGTCTGAGAAACACCCGGATCAGGTGGCTTTCCGCGGCCGCGACCGGCCATGCTGGTCGCGGTGCCAAATGAAACTTATTTTAAATGATATGCTCCTATTAAAACAAAGGAAAGGTAAACACTCACAGTTGGGAATGCAGCCAAGCTCAAGAAGTGCCGAAATTCGTCGTGGTCAATGCTAAGGTCAATCGTGTACACAACCGTTCACACCGACGTCGGAATCAGGAATCGAGGTTTACATTGTTATTATTTTTAGTTCCCGCTTATTTTCTTCTTGTAGAAGGCTGGGTTGGTATAATAGAACCAGATAAAGATTATAGTAAGTATTAAGCTACAAATTATTTAGTTTTTTATTTATTAATTCAAATTTTTAGAAGGCGATGCAGCTTGTTTTACTAAACACGAGGAATTGGGGGAGTTTAAGTTAGGAGAAGAAAAAAGAATGAAAGAATGTGCCATTGCAATTTGTGAAACCAAAGGAATGATAAGAATAACAGGGTAAAATAATATTGATTATTGTAATATTTCATTTTAATTTGTACATAAAGCGGGAAGAAATGTTGCCAAACGCATGCGTTTTGTTAAATAAAAATCCTAAAATGCATTTTCTCATAAAATCATTGTTTAAACATTTTGTACATTAGGCCTAATCTATGTAATAAGACTTAAAACAATATAAACAAGGTAAACCCATTGCTTAAGTTAAATTTTCATATCTTTTTTAAATATTGAATGTAGAATTTCTTTATAGATTTTGTAGAATTCCTGGCGATCAATGGAATATCAATGATACTGATTTTTAAAAAGACCCTATTTTATTATTAATCAAATCTTTATACCTACATATTTTTCTAGGAAATTGAATGCTCTATAAAAAGGACTAATGTGTTTAATTTATTACTCTAAACGTTGAGAAGATTTTCGTATCATAGTTTAAAGAATTTATTAAAATTGTTTTTTTTTTAATAATTTTGTAACTTATTGAAAAATATTGTTAAATGAGTATGACATATTATTGTAGAAAATTTAACGCTCTACAAAAGAGGTCAAATGTGTTTAATTGATTACTCTAACCGTTGAGAAGATATTCGAATCCGAATATCAATGTGTACTGATAGGTATATCTTCTCAACAAGTATAAGTTATAAGTTATAACTTATAACTCTATAGAGTAATATAATATAGAGTAATAAATTCAACACATTTGACCTTTTTTGTAGAGCGTTAAATTTCCTACAAAAATATATCATACTTATTTGACAATAATAATTTTTTAATGAGATGCAAATTTATAAAAAAAAATTTTTTTATAAATCCTTTAAACTTTGATCTTGAATATCTTTTAAGTGGTTAGAGTAATCGCTTAAACAGATCAGTCCTTTTTTGTAGGGCAAGGGCAATTTAATACTAAAATATGTATACATTATAAGGATTTGATTAAACGATTGATTAATAATGAAATATGGTCTTTTTTATAAGGGACTATAGAAAAAATGGAAAACTGTGATAAGAAGGATCTTCCTATAAATATTAAGAGCTTAAATTTGGTGAGCACTTTCTAGAGGTGCCTTAAAACCAATTTTTCAGTGTATATAGGAAAATTTACAAAATGGTCTTGTGTTTGATCAAGAAATTTTGATGAAATCAGCTCGTATTTCATTTATTTTAAAAGGTAAAAAGGTAAAAATGTTTACAAAAAAGCCTACTCAAAAATTTAGCCCTTCGCTATAAAATTTAGAATAATACCCTGTTCAAGTACTGTTTTCTAATCGAAAATAGCTGATTTCCATTATAAACAATTGAATTACTGATTTTTTTATAATTTAATATAAAACAAACCAAAAATTGAATTGGCTTTCTCTTGCCCAAAATAATAATAATAAAATGATACTGTTAAAAAATAGGTATTATAACACCTAATAGTTTTAGGTATTTATATATATTTTTAATATATTGTAGCGAGTACCGCTCTGGATATCGGAGTGATGACTCATCGCCGGTTAGTCATCGCCGGTGAGTCATCGCCGGTGACTCAGCGCTCGAATAATCGAGATTGTGGAGCTCGCTGGAATGTTCCAGAAGACCTTGGCGCTGAATATATAAGAAACGGAGCAGCACACGGAAACCAGTGAAGATTTGGTACTCGCGGTGAAATAAATAAATATAAGTGCAAATAAATAGACTCTTGAACAATAGTGATATATAAATAATTAGTAGTTAAGTGTTTAGTTAGTTTTATAGTGTTTTAAGTGTAGTTAAGTTAATAAATAAATAGTTAAGTTCGTTAATTAACCAGTGCGTGTTTTTATTCACACTACGAACAGTTAAAAACGTTACAATTGGTGTCAGGAGTGCAGTTAGTGTGAAACTTCGCGAAAATGGTTTCGTTAATGGACTTAAAAGTGGCGGACCTTAAGCGGGAGCTAGAAGAAAGAGAATGTGAAACAACTGGGAAAAAGAATGTGTTGCAGCAGCGGCTTCGAGAAGCGTTGGAACAGGAAGGTGAAAATCCAGATACGTATTTATTTGAAGGTTCATGTGATATGCATTTATTGTTGCAAAATTTAAAAAGCGATTTGCAACAGAAAATGTTAGAAAATTCTAGCGATGTACAACAGAGAATTCTGGAAAATTCTAACGAGTTACAACAGAAAATGTTGGAAAATTCTAACGAGTTACAACAGAAAATGTTAGAAAATGTCAACGATTTAAAGGATGATTTGCAACAGAAAATGGTGGAAAATTCTAGCGATTTGAAAATCGATTTACAACAGAAGATTCTGGAAAATGTCAACGAGTTAAAGGACGATTTGCAACAGAAAATGCTAGAAAATTCTAAAAACCTAAAAGAATATTTGGAAGGGAAGATTCTAGAAAATGTCAATGAATTAGAAGAGAAAGTTGACGATGTAAGGATGGAATTAAATAACGTAAGGATGGAATTGGATACGAGAGAAGAAAAATTGAACGAGAAATTGGAGGTCAAAATTAGAGAAATAAATAGTAAACTGACAGCTGTAAATCTACCCATGATGCTGGCGGAACCAGGAACAATGCCGGAGGGGAGCCGAGTTCGAATGAAACCACCTCAGTTCGATGGAAAAACTTCTTGGACCAACTACATCCGTCAGTTTGAGGCAGCAGCAAAAGCAAATGGCTGGCTACCAGAAGAAAAAGCTACAGCATTGACTCTGGCTTTACGCGGAGATGCAACGGACATCTTGCAGACACTCTCTCCCAACGAACAAGAAGATTACGAAGCGTTGGTTAAACATCTGGAACTTCGATATGGCCAGACACATTTGGAACATGTCTACCATTCCCAACTTAAGAACCGCTGCCAGAAATCAAACGAGACTTTGCAAGAATTCGAGGCTGATATTGCACGCTTGGTCCGGCTAGCATATCCAGCTACTCCAACGACCGTTATGGAACGATTAGCGGTTCAAGCCTTTTTGGATGGACTTCGAGACAACGAAACAAGACAGGCTCTAACACTGGCTCGTCCGAGCCAACTGGTTGATGCATTGGCTCGAGCTTTGGAATTCGAGGCGGCAAAGCAGAGCTGCAGGAGCCAGCCTAGAATAAGGAGAGTCGATGAAGAGAAAGAGGAGGAACCCAGAATAATTGAAGCAATCAGGCGAGTTTTTAAAGAAAACCTACCAGAGAAGAAGGAAATCCGGTGTTGGAGATGTGGAAAGCTCGGACATATACGAAGTCGTTGCAGAGAAAGCCAGGAGGCGCCGACTTCATCCAAGTCGGAAAACTAGATAGGGTCGAGGAAAAGGGGCAACCGTCGACCTGTAACCAGCATGCCCCAGAGGATATCGAACGTGTCGCATCTCTTCTACATCAGTCCAGCAGTGTTTTTGTGGATGGCTTTATTAATGGAAAGTTACATGTGCTGCTGCTGGATACAGGTGCAACGAAGACAATTATTCGGCCAGATATTGTCGAAAAGTCGAAGATAAAATCTACCAATCGGCGACTACGTACTGCAACAGGAGATACTGCTACTGTTCATGGAGAAGTGGACATCACGATGGTCATAGGAAACACGAAATTTAAACATCGAGCATTAGTAGCAGATATTGAAGATGAAGTTATTGTAGGCATGGACATTATGAACTCTATAGGATTTGAACTAAACTTTCAACAAGGAATATTGAGAGTAAATGGAGAAGAAGTCGTGTTGCATCGATCAAAAGAAAAGAATATTCGTGTAATGCTAACAGAAGATGCTTTGATACCGGAACACAGCGAGATGATATTGAAGGCTTCCTTGGATTGTAAATCAGAAGATGGAAGTATAATGCTTCTGGAGCCGAGAATTGATGACAAAGAGGTCGGTCGAGGAGTTGTAGTAGGGAAGACTTTAATACGTGTCGGAAAAGAAGTGCCTGTAAGAGTATTGAATGTTAATGGTTACTCTGTGAACTTAAAAAAAGGAATTGTTCTGGGGAACTGTTCTCCTGTTTCCTCAATTATTAGAAGCATTCGTGAGTCTGGAGTTCCGGCCAAGAAAATTAGCAATGAATTGACGACTCTGCTTTCGACTTCTTCAAAGGACTTAAAACCAAATGAGAGAATAAAACTGAGAGAGCTGATACACAACTATCAGGACGTCTTTGATGATGGACAAGGAAAGAAGGGTAGGACAAGAATTGTCCAGCATAAAATTAACACCGGTGATGCACAGCCTATTCGACAGTCGGCAAGAAGGCTGCCACTTGCCAAGCGAGAGGAAGCTGATAAAATTGTGCATGAAATGGAGAAGGAAGGGGTGATCGAACCATCCAACAGCCCATGGTCTTCCCCAGTGGTGTTAGTTAAGAAAAAGGATGGATCAACTCGATTTTGCGTTGATTTTCGTCAGCTGAACAACGTGACGAAGAAGGACAGCTACCCTCTGCCTAGGATAGATGATACCCTGGATACATTGGCTGGATCCCAAATATTTTCGACTCTGGATTTGAAAAGCGGTTACTGGCAGGTTGAAATGGCACCAGAAGATAGAGAAAAGACGGCGTTTACCGTGGGTGCTGGACTGTGGCAGTTTACTGTCATGCCGTTTGGACTATGTAATGCCCCTGCAACTTTTGAAAGGCTCATGGAAATGGTTTTGAAGGGACTATCCTGGAAGACATGCTTGGTGTACCTTGACGACATCATTGTGGTTGGGAAATCATTTGAGGACCATATGAGGAACCTGAAGGAAGTCTTTCATCGCTTAAGAAGTTCTGGCCTGAAGCTTAGCCCAAAGAAATGTCACTTGTTCCAGAAGGAAGTGCAGTATCTGGGCCATGTCGTTTCAAGTCAAGGAGTTGCAGTGGATAAACAGAAGGTGAAGACGGTGCGGGAATGGCCAGTACCGAAAAACAAACATGACTTAAGAAGCTTTCTTGGATTATGCACCTACTACCGGCGGTACGTACCTGGATTCGCAAAGGTTGCTAAGCCTTTGACACGTTTAACAGAGGGAGAAAGACGATTTCAATGGGACGAAGAATGCCAAGAAGCCTTTAAGAACCTGAAAAACGCGTTGACCAGCTCACCAGTACTGAGTTATCCTCTTCCGGATGGTGAATTTATTTTGGACACGGACGCCAGCAATGTAGGCCTGGGAGCTGTTTTGTCGCAGATTCAAGAAGGAAAAGAGAAAGTTATTGGATACTTCAGTAAAACTCTATCGAAACCAGAGAGAAATTACTGTGTTACTCGACGCGAGCTCTTGGCAGTGGTAAAATCAGTCGAACACTTTTACAAGTATCTGTATGGAAGAAAATTCTTGCTAAGAACGGATCATGCTGCCCTAAAATGGCTTTTGCAATTCAAGAACCCTGAAGGACAGGTAGCAAGATGGATTGAGAGACTACAGGAGTTTGACTTTGACACAGAACATCGGGCTGGGACCATCCATAGAAATGCTGACGCCTTGTCAAGAAGACCGTGCCCGGAAGACTGTAAACATTGTCTCAGGGCAGAAGAAAAGGATGTGTTTGTTCGGAGGACTACAATCGTGGATGATCATTGGCAATCCGCTGAGGTTCAACAAGACCAGGAAAGGGATCCGGATTTGAAGCTTATCATCGATTGGAAGAAGAACGACCGTAAACCAACGTGGCAGGAAGTCGCCCAATATTCGCCGAATGTGAAATCGTACTGGGCCCAATGGAATTCCATCATCTTAAGTGACGGGCTTCTAAAGCGCGTTCTGGAGATGCCAGAAGGGGGGGAAGACCGGAAGCAGATAATAATCCCCAGAAACAGGATACCAGAAGTGCTGCAGGAAATCCATGATGGAACTACTGGAGGACATCTTGGGGTGACCAGGACGCTCGGAAGACTTAGGGAACGGTTTTATTGGGTCAACAGCCAACGGGATGTGAAGGAATGGTGCAAGAAGTGCGCCGTTTGCGCGGCAAGCAATGGACCCCAGAAGCGCCCAAAAGCCCCAATGCGACAGTACAATGTGGGTAGCCCATTTGAGAGAATTGCAATCGACGTGGCGGGTCCATTTCCGGAAACAGAATCTGGAAATAAATACATCATCGTTGTAATGGACTACTTTAGCAAGTGGGCGGAAGCGTACGCCTTGCCGAACCAGGAAGCTGCCACAGTGGCCGATGCCCTTATTAAGGAGTGGATTTGTCGTTTTGGTGTCCCAATGGAAATGCATTCAGACCAAGGCAGGAACTTTGAATCTATACTGTTCCAGAATGTCTGTAAAATTCTTAACATTCGGAAGACGAGGACGACTGCATTACATCCGCAGTCTGATGGAATGGTGGAACGCATGAATCGAACGATAAACCGGTACTTGTCCAAGGTAGTCTCTGATCATCAAAGAGACTGGGACCGCTTCCTCCATCTCTTCCTATTGGCGTACCGTTCTTCTATCCACGATACAACCGGCCAGACACCCGCTAGCATTGTTATGGGACGTGAACTTCGTCTACCTTGTGACCTGAGGTTTGGTTGCCTGCCAGGGGAAGATATTGCTGGAGAAGATTATGTCAGCAATTTACGTAGGAAAATGAGCGACATTCATAACCGAGTTCGTTTAAACATCCAAAGTGCCAGTGATAGAATGAAAGAGGCATACGACATCAAGGCGGAAAATGGAGGATTTCAACCTGGAGACCTAGTTTGGTTATACAACCCTCAGCGCCGTCGTGGTTATTCACCGAAGCTGCAGACTTCTTGGGAAGGACCATACGAAGTAATGGATCGCATAAATGACATCATCTACAGGATCAGAAAACAACCAAGAGGAAAGCCGAAAGTGATCCATTTTAACCGATTGGCTCCTTACGCTGGAAATAATGATGACCAAATAAACCATGCCAGAGTAAGACGAGTTAATCCTCCGGAAGACGAGTTGCTTTTTGAAGACTTCATGTATTTATATTCGAGCGGTAAAAAAGCTCGCTTTGGTGTCACTCGAGAAGAACAACAAGATCTGTTCACGGTTTCGGCCGATTACTCCTTAGCTCACTGTGTTGCAGAAGACCTAAGGATGTCCAGGGGAATAGCGGTTGTTTTTAAAAACAAGTTTGGACGGATCGACGAGCTACGAAGGCAGAATCCCAAAGTTGGAGAGGTGCTTGAAATTGTGAATAATGAGCAGACAGGCAATAGAAGTATCTTCTATCTGGTAACGAAGCAACTCTCCCATCAGAAGCCAAACTACCGTGACGTATGGAATGCCTTAAATAAATTGAGGGATGCCCTTTTATCCAAGGACATCATGAACCTGGCGATACCGAAGATTGCTTGTGGACTTGACGGTTTAGACTGGAGAATAATTAGAAGTATGGTGGAAGTTATCTTCAGATTTAGTGGCATACACATTCTTGTCTGTTGCCACAACCCTAAAAGAACAACCGGAAGGAAGACCGTAGACTGCTACTTCTATAGGACGTCACAATGCAAGTTTGGATCTCTATGCAAATATCGCCATGGAGCTGAGGACCATTTTCGGGACGAAAATGTTTTAAGACGGGGGCAATGTAGCGAGTACCGCTCTGGATATCGGAGTGATGACTCATCGCCGGTTAGTCATCGCCGGTGAGTCATCGCCGGTGACTCAGCGCTCGAATAATCGAGATTGTGGAGCTCGCTGGAATGTTCCAGAAGACCTTGGCGCTGAATATATAAGAAACGGAGCAGCACACGGAAACCAGTGAAGATTTGGTACTCGCGGTGAAATAAATAAATATAAGTGCAAATAAATAGACTCTTGAACAATAGTGATATATAAATAATTAGTAGTTAAGTGTTTAGTTAGTTTTATAGTGTTTTAAGTGTAGTTAAGTTAATAAATAAATAGTTAAGTTCGTTAATTAACCAGTGCGTGTTTTTATTCACACTACGAACAGTTAAAAACGTTACAATATGTAATTATTATAGAATCTATAATATAGATTATATTCTCTTCTGCAGTAGCGTGTCAAATTTTTTGGGGAGCCCCCCGCCAACTTTTTTTTGAGGCCCCCTATGTCACTATTATATTTTCCAAAAATAACCCATTATAGTAAATATTTATACACAATATCATTATCTAATAGTTAAAAAACACAGCGAATTTTTTAAACTAAATTTATTTCTATAAATTATTATATGTTATTATAATATAGGAGGGATGATTGAAAAGTTCTAAAAAAATGTTCTTCTAATACAAGGAAAACATACAACAAATATTTAAACATATATCCACCGTCTTATTAGCTTTCCACGTCGAATACACCAAACATGCATCGAGATGAACTCTTGCATTCTCGACGAGAATTTCTCGTGTGTCAAAATTTTTTTTGAAAGGCCTTTCCAATCATTCAACATTCCCGTAGTCCAAGCAGGGTAGAAAGAGGTACTGCTCCTATCCGCAAACAACCAGCAAGGATGACAGTATACTCCATTTAAAGTCACTGAGGAGGATATCCAGAATCTTAAATAAAACACTTGTATTGGAAAACAGTGTTTTTTTATTTTGTAGCGTGAAATATTGAAAGAAAATATAATAGTATATAAAAGTATAAGTGGATAACAAGGTCTTTAAGACATGCGCGATTTTTCTCGAAATAGAGCAAGCAAGCAAGTGTATCTTCTGTTTTCTATTCTAAAGCAAATTTTTCAACTTACCGTTCCAACAACTGTCCAGATGATGTCCTTTTCTTATAATACACTTCACTAAATGATCGGTTTGAGTCGTCTTTTGCAAAACCACTTATAGGCCTTTCGGGCCTATACGGACCAAAATGCTTTTTTTGAAAAAACGTATCAATTTTGGCAATCTTCTTCTTCTCCTCCTCCTTTTTTTCAACTAGTTTTCTTTTTTGAGCCCCATTCAGATATTTGCGCGAACTACTCATTTTAATATTTTAAATATCAACTCAAAACTCAAACGTAACAAGTAAAACAACAAAGACTCGCTAATAACCCAAAATTCCCATTAAAACGGGGAATCACTGAGGTTTCGACCAGCCAGGGTTGACAATTGTTTGGGCGTTCACATTTTTTATGTTCGAAAGAAATGGTGACAAATTAAATATTGATTTGAAATGTTTAAATGTGCATATTTGTAGTTTTGGAGTTTGTTTGATATACATAGGTATTACTTTTTCTTAGAGTACATTGGGGGCCCGGGGACCTCCAATATACCGGGGGCCCCCCCGCATGGCGGGGTCTGCGGGGCCGTTTGACACGCGCCTGCTCTTCTGGTCACAAAGTTAAATGCGTTTAATTTTGCTCTCTTATAATGTTTATTTTCTAAACTATTCATTAGGTAACCGATTTTAATGAGAAAAATGAGTTTTGAATAGATAATAATTATTGTAAATCCTAAATTACTTTGGCACACTATATTTTTATTTAAAATTTATTTTTAGATGTGGTGTAGTTGCTGTTGCCCCACCTTGCCAAGTAGTGAAGGGTGATTTATCAAAACCTTATCCAAAGTGTTGCTTCGAAATAAAATGTCCCGAAGATAATAAAGTTTAGATACATTTTTATGTTCACAATAAAGTTGTTTAATATTTATATATTATTAATTTTATAAAACATTTATAATCCCTAATTATTGTAAAAACCATCCAAGCAAGGGTGGCTACGATTTAAGTTTAGTTTATGTATTATGGGCTAATAAGTGAACCTTTAAATGCGTATGATTTTATTTTTGTACAAAATAATAAATAAATAAAATTTTGAAAAAAAAACAATATGTAGCAAATTCCTTATCCGTCAGACCTTTTTTGCTACTCATACCACAAAAAGATCGTCTACTTTCAAACGAAATCGTTTAATTATTTAAACGATCGTCTTTAATCGTCTAAAATAATAGCCGACCCTAAAGACGATCGTTTAAAGTGATAAACGATACAAAAGGCGATCGTCTAAAATAATAGTCGAAAAAAGACGATCGCGATTTAATTAAAATTTTAAGTTAAAACTTAACTGATGAGAAAATATTTTTATTTTGTCATAATTATTAATTAAATTAATTAAAAAAATAATTCTAAAGGCGATACCTACCTACTTCGAATAATAGACAATTCCAAATATTCCAAAGTATATTTGAAATTCTTTATTATAATAGAGAAGAATTTCAAATTTATATTTCATCTGTACAGCCGACCGCCTAACCTACGCAACCGATTGAATCGTTTGAAAGGCGATCGTTTGAAAGACGATTGGACGAATTCGCGTCTAAAGACGATCGTCTTTAGACGATTTTTCCCCATGGGTAATAATTATAATTAATTTAAATTATCTACATTTTTTTATACAAACAGTTTTATATATCGTGCGTTTTGCGCGCTTGAAATGGCCGCTTAGTGCATATTAATATGCAGATATGCTACAATCAGTATTTCAGAAAAAAGACAATCACCAACTGTTTTTTCATCAATATTAATATTTACATAAAAGTACATACCTTACTCATATAGTAGAATACTTTTTTATGTAGTAAACAATTAAACTCAATTCAATTCAGACTCAATGTATGGTCAAATGCATTTTTTTATCAAATACTTCACTATAGTGACAAAATATATTTTGCAGATATGTTATTTGAGCCAATACATGTTATACAGTATGTCTACTATATAAGTGTTCCTGGAGCGTTGCAAATTTTCTGCGCGATGCGTTTAAGGGTTAATAAATTATTATTATAATATTCACAATCTACAGTTCATTTTTTTTTACCTGGACTCGTGTTTTTTTGTTAGGTTGGTAGTTATGCCAGTTTGACTTGGTATTTTTAGTATTTAAAAATGGTACTTCTGCTAAAGAATTTAATTAAATATTTTGACACTGTCAAATTGACAATATTATTTATTATTGATAATTATAAATAAAAAGATAATTATGCCAAAAATAATATCAACGAATTCGAATGTAAAAGCCCTTTTAAGGGCAAAACTTCATTTTGATGAAATTATGCCAAATGCCACAATGGAAGAAAAAGTAAATCGCCTTATGGACATTTTTGGAGTAAAAAAGTAACAAATTTTGTTTTACAAATATTACATCACACATTATTTTCAAATTATTCACCATTGGACAACATTTACGTTCACAAAAAATTTTAATTTCTTTTATATAAATTCTTTTTAAAGCGAAGATTATTATCCGCTAGGAATACTTTCTCTTCTGGGCCGTAAAGCAACCTATATTTAACTACTTTTTTATATGAATTTACTCATCCAAGCACCATCAAAGCCAAATTAATTGCATTCTTAACTACGAATTTCGACAACTCAACTTGACAACTGCACAATGTAACCTACAATAATTTATACATAAACACAATTAGATTTATAACTATAGTCACAGAATACACTATAGTTATAAGAATACACTATAGTTATAAGCTATAAGCCTCTTAATTTTAATCAATGCGACCAACTTGACAACTGTATTTACCAACCAAAACCCTAAATTTGCAACGTTGCCGCAGTCCAGATAAAAAAAATGAACTTTACACAACAAGGTCTGTTCTATCCCGTTTGGCGCATAAAAAAATCACGAAGTTAGGCAACCAACTGCACAGACTCCAACGACGGCCATTTTTATGTTGTTTACAATTCTTGTGCTTCGGGTTTGTGCTGTTTATACAGATTAAAAATCGTTTTAAACATGTTCCTTACAGATGCACTTGTAACTCTTAAAAGAGGCCTTAAAGTACTAAGGGCAACCATTTTACTCCCCTTTTGTATAAAATAATAGTATATTCTGTAAAAAGTTTGGAAAACAGCATATTCCGCTCGAGTGAAGAGTTTGTCACACGAGCCGAAGGCGAGTTTGACGGTTTCACGAGAGTGGAATATGCAATTCCAAACGTGTTTCAGGGCTGTTATCAAACTGTCAAACATCAATTTTAATGTTAATTTGTGGGTATGGCAAATTTGTGGGTTATGGTAAATAAACCTTAAAATTGACTTTTGTCAGTTTGATAACAGCCCTAATAGAAAAAGGTTTATTTTTTACAAGAGTATACTCTAGTATACTATAGTAAAATGGTTGTCTAGTATACTATAGTAAAATGGTTGTCTAGTATACTATAGTAAAATGGTTGTCCTTAGCACTTTTGAGGCTTACAAGTGCCTCTGTAAGAAATTTAGCGTTTTTTTATCTGTATAACCAGTACAAACCCGAAGCACATGAATTGTAAACAACATAGAAATGGCCGCCGTTGGAATCTGTGCAGAGATTAAAAAGTCTGTGCAGTGGGTTGCTTATGTTATTTTGGACCTTATGCCAACATGTTGTGTAACATGTAGTTAGTTAGTTGTATTGTGTTAATAAATGTGTAATCACACTTAAAGTGTATTAATAATTGTTACACATGTTGGCATAAGGTCCAACATAACAGCCTAACTTCGTGATTTTTAGTATGTGCTAAACGAGATAGAACAGACCTTGTTGTGTGGATTGTGATAATATTCACGCTTTGCGTGAAAAAGTCATTTCCTTAAGTCATTGTTACTTTAAATGTACGTATAAATATTACATTAGGATTATATGGCGTCATATAAATTTTATATAGCATTTAAATCATTTTGTGACGTCAAAGAAACATCACTTTTTATGTCAGAATGATATATAATTTTACATTATATCTTAGTTACAAAGAATGTCAAGTTTACGTAAAATTTTGTTACCCGTTACATTAGTGATGTTTACATTTTAATCAAGGTCATGTGTTCACGGGGATATTGTGTTGGCTTATAATAATACAAAAAATACATTATGTACATATTACATATAGGCAATGTGCATAATATTGTTATATAATAATAACCGAATCAATAGGTTTTAATCCTTATTGCCTATATATGAGATAAGGATTGATTTATCATTATTAGATACCATTAACTACCTATTTATACATTATAATAACCATTATACTATCTAAATCATATGCAGGTTAGAATAGTAAAAAATGTTCATGCAAACTAAAAAAATATGTCTCACAATAAAGTAGGAGCAAAACACGAATGATACGGCGAAGACAGGTGCTTTTGCTACAATACATACATTATTAAACGGTCTCGGTTAGGATAGGGGTTTCAGACTGAACTTTCAGTCTCCAACACAAAACTAGGGAGGCAACTAGTAGAAAGTTATGAAATAATCAATATTCAGTCCTTGTGTATATTTAAACAGTCGATCCAAACATTCAGTGTTTCTTTAACAGTTTCGTTTTTAATTCCAAGCGGCCATGAGTTATTTTTTTAGAATGTGGTGATTTCGGGGTTTCGGTCAAAATTTCTTTTTTTTCTCGCAAAACATGAACCGTTACACGATCCTCCATCAGCTAGGCGATGGCACCTATGGATCCGTTGTTTTAGGTCAAAGGAAAGACACTGGCGAGAAGGTGGCCATCAAAAGAATGAAAAGAAAATATTACTCGTGGGATGAGGCTATGAATTTAAGGGAAGTTAAGGTGAGTCTTGGCATTTTTTAGACTTTTGACATATGCGTCACAAGCATGTCTAAAGGTGTCCCAATAAAAATGTGTTGTTTTTTAATACTTGTCCTTTTAACACTATGAATTGGGTACCAACTCGTTCATTTTTAGGCATAATTCGAACAAATTTACTTAATTATTACTTTAAACAAACCCTATTAAAGCAATGTCCATTTTATTCGTTAATTTTTCTTTTTTCGCATATACTATATCATATCATATCTTATAGCCATTGGTAAAGAACTTCTGTAGTTTCTGGCCAAAAAACTTGATCAATTAATTCTTTTAAGACCATTTATAGAAATTTTTAGGGACCAAAACAAATGGTGGTAGATGCGCTAAAATCCAGTTAAGTCCTCTAGATTTTTAGAATGAACATATTTAAATTATTATTCATTACCATAACATATAGGTTTTGTTTGTATACAGACTGTTTGGTGATAAATGCTGAGGTCTTAGCTTCATAATTTTCGGTTATTCGTGAACCAGAGTGGGGTGCATCTTTGACTTTAATTTTTATAGAACAAAGGAAGAGCCCGTGAATGGTTACTACGTGCTCTTCTTTCGGATACACCGCCAGCACCACAAACTTTACATTTCCATTTTTAAAAAAGAATGTTAGAATGTATTTAATTTCTTTCTTATTTTCACTCATAATCAAGACGCTCTATCTTTAAAATACTCAAAACAGGAAAAACAATGCAACTCTTAAGCAAAAATAATATGACTTTTATAATACCATTTTTTAATGTTCGATATACAGGAAGTCGAGTATTTGATAATATATTAAGTTTAAATCAACATAAATAGTTACATCTTTTGAAAAAAAAACAAAATATAATTGCCAAATAATCAAAATAGGGAGGTCCAGTACGGTACTGGATCCCCCTACTGGCAGTACCCCTATTTTTAAGTGCGTGAGCTATATTTTTTTCAGGTTCTCATTTATTTTTGATTATATTTTGTCTCATATAAAATTTCTATTATATGTTTTGTTTTAAAAATAATTTGAAAAGTATTACCTACGGTAACCTCATAATTTTCAAATACTGGTGCAATAAATATATAGGTATTAAGTAAAATTTTGCAATACCAAAAAACAAAATAGACAAAAATAAGTCAAGGTCAGTGGCGCAGAGATAAAAATAATACTAAATGCGCTGCTAAGAATAATTTGTTTTAAAGATAAATTGAAAAGTATTGGACCATGATTGATGCGGACCTCATAATTTTTAAATACTCTAAATAAAGTTATTCGCTGTTGAATTACCATGGATACAATTAATAAAATTTTGAAATAGGTAACAATACCAAAAACAAATGTCTAGCAAAAAACCTAAGGTTAGTGGCACACAGATAAAAATAATACTAAACCGGTACAATAATTACTAATTTTCTTTATATAACAGTAAAACGCCAATGCTATCGCTCGTTTCTCAGTCAATAATCTAACATTACTTTTTAAATAAATTCGAAGCATCATTACAATATAGTATACATAAATTTTTTTTAAACATTATTTTCCTAAAATAGATATGACCTCCATTTTTTTAAATACACATGCGAGGTCTTTTTATTAAAGAAAATCTTTGCCTGAAAAATACTTTTCAGCTTAAAGGATTCTTTTTCTTAAATATTTCTTGTTCAAAATCGGAACCATGTACAAAACCCCAGGCTGAATACTCCAAGAAAGTAAGATCTAGGGAACGGAGTGGCTATTTAACAGGAGCATTTTGACCCCGACCAAGCGTAAATAGTTTCTAACCCAAAATGTGGAGGACCACCGTCTAGTTGAAACCAAGTATTTTTTCTTACAAATAGAGGCAAATCATGAAATGAATCCGACAGTGTGTTTTAAAAAATAGCAAAAACGAATGACCACTCTGACTGGTCCAGTCGAATTTCCTGGTAAAAGTACAAGACCCAAAAGAAAATTATCTAAGATCTGCCCATACATAATATATTATGGACTTTGGAAAATTTACTTGATGATGTGTCTTATGGCTTTAGTATTTTCTCCCGCCCATGTGTGTTGTAAATGTTTATGATCCCTTTTCTTGTAAATGTAGCTTTATCAGTAAAGGAATTGAATCTGATGAAACCCACAAGCCACACATGGGATTGTGCTTCAAAGTCTTGAGGCAAAAGATCCCCCAGGCTCTTTTGAATATTGTATAGGTAGAGCTGCTGACTTATACCGTGAATCGTAGTTTTATAATTCGTTTTAAATTTTTGTTACTTACTTGTTACATATTTTAAGAAAATAATATTTTAAATAATCGAAATTTTTGACTGAAGAACGAGCAATAACAGTGGCGTTTTACTGTTTTTATACTCTATGCTGTTATGTAAAGAACATTAGTAATTATTGTTCTAAGTAGCTTAATATAGGGCAGTAAAATTAATTATATTTTACCGGTTTAGTATTATTTTTACCTGTGCGACACTAACCTTAGGTTATTATTGACTTTTGTTTTTGGTATTGTAACCTATTGCAAAATTTTGCTTAATATATAGTTGATACATTGTATTAATTCTACACTCAAAAAAAAATTATGTAAATTTACCACGATTATTGATGGCGACTGCAGTCGATTATCGATGGTCACCATGGTGACCATCGATAATCCAGTAAATTTGCAACAACAAAGTAATTTTACAAAACAGTATTAAAATTACATTGTAATTTTACACCCATATAATTAAATTTACAAAGTAAAATTCATATTTCAAATAAAATCATATTGTAAAATTACTAGATTTCATGTAAATTTACAATGTAAAGTCCCTAGTTAAAATAAAACTATAATGTAAAATTACTGACTTTAATGTAAATTTACAAATACTTAAAAATGTAAAATTCCTTCTTTAGTAAAATCACAATTTAATTTTAATTTACAACATATTATAACATTAAAAAGTAATGAAATAACAAAATATTTTTTCAGGATAATTTATTTAATAGAAGTTGTTATGAAAATTTAAAAAACGATAATTGATTGATATTTACTTACCTGCAAAAACTACGTGTATTTTTTATTACTAAATATTATTGTTTTTATTATGATTAAGAAGTAATAAACTGTTTTTAGGTACATAATATTTTATTTAACTTTATCTATAAATATATAAGTGAGTTTTAAAACGGTTGTAGTTTTTAAGAACACATCTACAGTTCCGATATAGACACGTAAACACTGCTCCTGGTGTATTTCTATGCAATTGAAGATGAGTGTTATATTTTTTTGAAGAACATAATTTAATTTCGCAAATATTACAGGTTAACATTGTCTAAAACAATTATGAATTAATTAGGCATCTTTAACTAAGTTTAAAGTTCTTACCAATAGTAAAAGACCTTGTAGAAAACTGTGCACATAAAAACACGTTCATCTACTAAACACAATGGCTGACAACAAAGACGTTTTTGAAGCGGATGCAACCCTGCATCACGATTTGGCGCGCGGTAATTGGTTGGAATTTACAATAAAACTTGTAATTTTACATGCGAATAGTAAAATTACAAAAACTATGCAAATATTACAAATTGATATGTATTTAAAACAATAATAATGTAAATATAACTAAATGAAATGTATTTTTACATAACAAAACTTAATATTCCATTGTAAATTCACAAAAATTATTAATTTTACAAGAAACTGTGTATAATTTCATAAATTAACTTGTGATTTAATTTTCACATTATAATATTTGTAAAGTGTACATGTTTAAACTAGTAAATGTGTTGTAAATTTACAAGAATTTTTTTGAGTGTATAGCGGCTTACTTGAGTACATATTTGAAAATTATAATTTACCACAAGCCGCGTACGCATCAATCAAGAACCAATACTTTTTAAATTATCTGTAAAACAAATCATGTTATCGAAATTTTATAGAAGTCACTGCGCACGAACTAAAAAAGGGGGGTCAGTGGGTACTGGACCCCTATTTTGATTATTTCCCAATTGTTTTTCTTAAAAGATGTAACTACACTCACAGGCAAAATAATCGATCCACACAAATTTTCGATGAATTTCAATCGCAAATAACTTTTTTATTTGATGTCGGATTTAAACGAATATTAAAGAATATTGTAGATAAATTAATGGACAATCGCTCACATATAAAAAATACTAAAAAATAGATGTACGTTTATAATATACAGGTTTAAACAAAAAGATGTTTTTTACCATAAGTACCACTCTGTAGAGTGGCAAAACCGTATATTGTTCTAAATTATTTATCAAGTCACATCTATTCTTATAAATAAATATATCGAGGTGAACCAAAAACAAAACTGTTATAACAGTTTTGTTTTTGGTTCACCTCGATATATTTATTTTTGTGGAAAATATGGATTTTTTTTTAAAATATTGCAATTTCCAATATTTTTCTGTATGGAGAACTAAGGTTGCTATGGTCCATCCATATATGGAGCCTATAGGCTATGGAGTGACAGTGACAGTTTTGTTGAATCATCTCATACTTGGACATGTCATACACGGCTTTCAAAAGCTATCAAATAGTTTTTTGCAAATTAATGTTTAAATTTTTAGGTGTCTTCTTACGGGAAAAATATTGGAAATTGCAATGTTTTTTTTAAATCCATATTTTCCACAAAAATAAATATATTAAGGTGAACCAAAAACAAAACTGTTAAAAATAGATGTGCCTTGATAATTAAAACTTAATTTAGAACAATATACGGTTTTGCCATATTTGTTTAAATCCGAAATCAAATAAAAAAGTTATTTGCGATTGAATTTCATCGAAAATTTGTGGGGATCGATTATTTTGCCTGTGAGTGTATTTATGTTGAAGCAATGTACCAAATTTGAACTTTGAACGAATTATTCAAAAAAATCAGTTTAAAATTTTAAACTTTGAAGCTTTGAAATAACTTTATAAGTAGTCTAAAATAAACAATTTTATTATAAAATTCATTATTTTACATGGTTAATGGATTGACTTCCTTTTTCCGAACAGCCTGTATAACAGAATGTGTCTTATATTACCAGAGATATGCGAATTCTAAGTTGTCTATCTGCAGATCTGCAGATCTATCTCATGAGAGAACTTTTTCAAATACCTAATATTCATATAAATATTTCTTTGCTAATATTTTGATAGGTAATCAGAAGAAATATTCAAATACCCAGCAAATAATAAAAATCTTTTACTAAAACTAAAATAAATAGGTACATACGCTACATTTACCAGCTTGAAAAAATTCTCTTTAAAAGTCGATATTGTTTTATTGATCTTTTTTCTTCTATTTTACATAAGATTTGTAAATGTAACTCATTTGCAAGTAGAGGCACGAGATCTAAAACATGGTTGTTACTAGTTTACATATTAAATAAATAAAATTTAACTGGCTACATACTGCGCAGTATACTGAATTTTTAAATTTTGAATTAATTATTTCTTATTTAATTTATTAGAGCTACAGAATAACCTAAAAGTAGCAAAAATATTAGGTCAAAAATTTAAACATTAGAAAACACATAATTTTGGGCATAAACCAAGGTTTATTTTTTATGGATTCAGATCCATAAAAAATAAACCTTGGTTTATGCCCAAAATTATGTGTTTTCTAATGTTTAAATTTTTGACCTAATATTTTTGCTACTTTTATTATATTCAGATACAATTTAAACAAATATAAAAATGAGGTTAAAAAATTATTGGGTCAAGTTTAACATAAGAATTTAAGTATATCGATTAAGTGATTACACTACTGACAAATGCTGGACATATTCTTTACCTATACCAATGTTTTCAAAGGACAAAACGAAATTAGTGTGTAACATGATATTTATGTTTAATTTTAGTCTCTAAAAAAACTTCACCACGCCAACGTAGTTAAATTAAAAGAAGTCATACGAGAAAATGACGTTTTATATTTTGTTTTTGAATATTTACAAGAAAATTTGTATCAACTTATCAAGGATCGAAGAGTTCCATTTCCCGAAGCTACTGTACGGAATATGCTTTATCAGGTAAGAATGTATAAAAACCTCGATATACATAATTGAAAAAATAGGGCAGGAAAAGTAAAACAACCCACCCAGGACCACTGTATATTTATTTGGATGGGATTAAACAAGGAAAAAACATTAATTGTACTGGCATATTTGTTTTCTAATTAAATTTATTTCACAAAAATTAAATTATTATATACAACAAATTAGTTTTATAAATAAATAAGTTCAAAATTCGAAATTTTGAAAAAATGCCATTTCTCGCTTAGTTTAATAAAATGTATTTAATAATTATTATGAAAATTGGTAAAGACAGAATTTCCAAGAAATTCGTGGTTAAAAGGATTTCCGGTGTCCGTGGAAGACCCTGTATATTATAGCGCAGATTTCCTTATTATTAACAAAAATTTTTATATTTCTGGTTTAAGGTGTTTTAAACTATCGAATATTCATAATCCACTTGTTTATTCATAAGTTAAAATAAGTAATTAATTATTAACGAACGCTAATTATGATTTTAGTTTATCATATTAGTCATCAAATGGATTTTGAAATTATTCCTAATATTTAAGATAAAATTTATTATTAAATAAAATATTATGACTATCTGGGCTAAAACTATTTGTATAAATAAGAATATTTTTTGAAATAATACTTTGAAGTATGTATTTTCGTACATTATTTTTATCCTTATTTTAAATTTACCTTTTCTACTCCTATTGCAAAATATTAAAATTATTTGTTTTTTTATGCATACATGTATGTAATGGTAACCATTATAACCGCCCCGCCTAGCAACGGAAATAATGAAATCATTGTTCATGTTGTTACCCTGATAGCACACTTTATTCTAAGAATATTTTTTAAACCTTCCAGTGAAAATATTCTTAGGATCATGCTATATTTCTTCTAAAGAACATGCTTAAAAGACATATAGCATGATCTTAAGAATATTCTTACTGGCCTATATATAGGCCTATAGGCAGGTTCTTAGAAGGTTCAAAGTTTTAGTGGTAAAAATTAGTCTCTAAACATATACGTAGAATGTTAAAAAAATAATTGCTATAGAAAGTTCATTTAGGAATATACCTGTTAGGCATATTTAATTCAGTTACCTATAATAGTAAAATATACCATAAACTACCTATAAAGGTATATACCTATACTTAAGTACCTAATTAGTAATTAGTATTAAATACTAAGTAAAAATCACAATCCAAAATATTTTTTTATAGTTATTTGTCAAATTAAAACAATATTTGATAACAAAAATACTTTTACTATAGGTATTTTATTTTATGTTAAAAATAAATATTTATTAATTTGTATAGGTACCGATTTTTTATTTCTGAATTAACATTTTTATGTATAATAATCCTAACTATCTTCAACTTCAATCTAATCTGACTTATCCCACAAAATTTTACAATTTTACTTTTTATGAAATAATGTCATACAACTTATGGTTTAGAGGTCAAATTGTTTATTTAATATTTTTAAATAAATATATATTAATATGTCGCAAAATTTTTTAAGGGGACAACAAATACATTTCACTGTCATATTATGACAGTGAGGCGTATTTGTCGTCTCCTGAAGAATTTTACGAATGTAGAATACAACATATTAGAACAGGGGTATCTGACATATTTGGAAATATTCTCAAAAGCTTCCTAGAAGCTCCATAAGAAACCTTCTAAGAAAATTCCAAAAAAGTATTCTTAAAATGTTTTTAGGATGCTTTTTAGGAAGGTTTTAAGAGGCTTTTAAGAATCTAATTGCATCATTAAAAGGGTATCTATTAAATGTTTTAAAAGTTTCTAAGAACATTCTTACAATACGGGAAGGTTCTAAGAATATTCCATTATTCCGGGTCATATCTTCTTAGAAGATTCTTAAAATCAAATTTTGCTATCAGGGTAGGCATCAGTGATTGGCCGATTTCAATATCCACTGTGATTTGATCCAATCCGGTTTTAAATTAGGAAAAATTGAGGTTGGAACTGTCTAACAGATGTCAGATTTTCAGAAAAAAAGTGAGATTATAATAAATTTTATTATTAAAAATTCTGTGGGTAAAAGGCATAAGGGGATAAGTCAAAAAAAGTAATTTTTTGGTATACCAAAAAATTACTTTTTTTGGCAGTTCCAACCTCAATTTTTCCTATAGGAATATATATAGAGACTTAAACGTGTTCGCATTAATTCAGGAAATATCTTTATGGTTAGCGAGTATACCCTTTTGCTAGCATATGACATGTGCTGGCAAAAGGGTATACCCGCTAACCATAAATGTATTTCCTAAATTAATGCGAACACGTTTAAGGTACTGCTAAAAAACTCATTTCTTTGACTTATCCCCTTATGCCTTTTACCCACAGAATTACTGGAGTAGAAAAAGCAAATTTTACGAAACAATCTAATTAAGTAGGTACCTAACTGTTAATATTTAATCAATAAACATTTTCATTAGATTTTACAGGGCTTATCGTTCATCCACCGACACGGATTTTTCCATAGAGACTTAAAACCCGAGAACATACTTTGTTCAGGGCCGGACCTGGTCAAAATAGCCGATTTCGGTTTAGTGAGGGAAATCAGATCGAGGCCTCCATATACCGACTACGTGTCGACAAGATGGTACCGAGCACCTGAAGTGCTGCTACACTCAACAACCTACAGCAGCCCTATTGATTTGTGGGCTGTGGGTTGTATAGCAGCAGAAATTTACACGTATAGACCCCTGTTTCCTGGCACGACTGAAACCGACCAACTCTATAAAATATGTGCTATTATGGGAACACCAGACAAGGTAAAGAATTCTTAAAAAAATTTAAAATTCAAAGCCGTATTCCATTATCAAAAATATTAAATACCTAAAGTTACAACATGCTTTGTTTTTGAGATATTACCTGTGGCCAATTTACGTGTGAAAACGAACTTTTTCCATAACTTATTTAATATTGACCAATTTGTATAAAATTTTGTTATCATGTCTAAAAGAGCCGTAGAATGCAGTGGCACTCTTACTTATTTCAAACAACCCTTTACAGGGGGTTGAAAATTTACATATTGAACAATTTCTATGAAATTTGGTATGAGCCGTAAAATATAGTGGTTTATATATTTTATAAAGATATATTATAAAGGTATATTTAATATTTTACCCAATTGAAAATAAATTAATTTTGAAACAAAAATTACCTCCAATAACAGGTTTATCTATAACCCGCGCGTGCCACCTTAATGTCCATCTGTACCTATAGGTTTATAAAATCGGAAAAATTCCGCAAGAACCGAAAATGTCATTAAAAAGGACATGGTTTATAGAACATTTTGATATAACACTTAACAGGTCTTCTTTATAAACGTAAAATTGTCTTTAATTTAAAATTCGACTGAAAATGACATGCTTTTAAATAAGGGCTGTTATATTGCTAAACCTTTTATGGTAACAATTATCCCCAACGATTCTCCAAGAAACGAACTTTCATATTCTGTCAACTATTAATTGATGTACAGTGTGGCCCATTTGTTTGCGACTCACCCCTGTTAAATCTTTATTTATTGTGAGATTTTAACCGGATTTGTTTTAAAGTGTAGATCTTGATAACTGTATTTTTAAAACAAAAAACGCCATAATTGTACAAAAAAACAAGGCCTACTATGTCAGTTTTTAAAAGTAAATTTTTAAGAATTCATATTAGCGATTTTTTTTAAAACAAAATCTAAGCACAGCACTGGATTCACCACCCCTCAAAACGACCTTATTGAAAAAAAGTAGAAAAAAGCACAATAATAACTACAAAAAATTATTCTGTCAAGTTATCCATGAAAAAAACATTGAAATAAAATTAAACTTATGGTAATAGTACCATGTTACTATTAGTTTAATTTTATTTCAATGTTTTTACATGACAAAATAAATTTTTGTAGTTATTATTGTAAATTTTTCTACTTAAAATTTTTTAATAAAATTTCGTAAAGGGTAGTTTTGAGGGGTGGTGAATCCAGTGTTTAAAAAAATCGCTAATATAAATTCTTAAAAATTTACTCTTAAAAACTGACATAGTAGGCCTTGTATTTTGTACTAATATGACGTTTTTTGTTCCAAAAATACAGTTTATTAAGATCTACACTTTAAAACAAATCCGATTAAAATCGCACAATAAATAAAGATTTTACATGGGTAAGTCGTAAACAAATGGGTCACACTGTATGTAACCATAATTAAATACCACGCCAATAAAATTGCCATTTTATTGCAATAAAATGGTATGTTAAAATACGTAAATTTTTGGTTTTTTTAAGTGGCTATATTTTTTGTATGCGAAGGAATTGCAAAGATTTGGTAAAAAGTTGACAGGACTATAGAACAATATATTCTGAAAATTTGAACCATATCTAAACAAGTCAATTAAGTTCGTTTTTTCATCAAAGTTGGCAATGGTAGGCCCCTTGCAATTTTTTAGACGGGCGCCATTTGTTAAGTATAGAATTTTATTGACTTTTTATTGTTACAGTCATTCATGAAGGAAAATGCTTGACAATAATATTAAAATAAATTACATTATTATTTGCGAAAATTATGGTTTTAAGAAAAAACGTACTAAAAATCATTTTGTATAACATTTCACAATAAACTTCACTTGATAAAATATTAATTTCTTATAGAAAACCATTAACAACGAATAGGCTCTATATATAGCAGGCGCTAACTTGTATTCAGTCATCGCGATGCATCGTTCGTTTAGAAATTGTTTTACAAATAAAATATAGCTTCTTGTCCCTTCCCTTGTCTAAGATTCTACTTAAAGTAGGACAGTTCGTAACCTAAGTTTAAAATAATGGATGTTTGGTAAATGTAAAATCAAGCAATCTAAGCATAAAACAAAGAATAACTTTTCGTTAGCGAGATACTTTAATTTATTTTTTTAAAGTCAGTGGCAAACAATTAGTTTATGTTGGGCAAATTAATACCATTGACAATTGAAAAAACTTGTAGAACAAAATCAGAACGAAGTCATTTTTGCACGTATCAACGTGCATGGTGCGTTTTGCACATTTTTTAAAATTTATTTTATTTACAATACTTACAATAATTATACAATGATCAGGAGCCACTAATATAATTTCTTTATTTCAATAAGTAGAAACTTAAACATATATTGGAATTGCAATTCTGCCCTACTATGGAGAAAGGCAGTAACTACAAAAAAATTCTATGATAGAGCTATGGACATTTTGTATCTTAATTCAACTGAGAAATGCAGTAAACTATCTTATAGGTTAAATAAATCAATTAAATATCTACTGCTTTTTATAAAAATTCAGTTTATGCCAATTTTCTACAGATTTCTTGTTTAGCAGTTTCTGCCTTTCTCCATAGTTGGGCAGAATTACAATTCCAATATATGTCAATTTGTCTGCCACTTAAAGCAAACAAGAACAGTTACAACGGTGAGATCAAAGCAATCGGTGCCATCTACCGCCCAGTTGACGTGGTTTTACGATTTGTTGTCAGGTTTCTGTTCCACACCAAACGGCTACCTGATACTAATGAGCTCCTAAATAGCGAAATAGGCTGTGATAAGTAATTCAGTAATTCCACTATACATAGGCGAATACGACCAAAAATATTAAAATCCATTTAACAAATTTGTTTGTTCTATGGTCAATAAAGTAAATTAAAAATGTATGTCTACACAGTTGACACAAATAGTTTTTATAAATGATGGTTTTTATGTTTGATTTTCTTGTATTCGATATTGAATTTCTGTAAATATTTACGTTTAAGTTTTTAAGAATTAGGGAATTTTGATGTGCGAAAACGTAAAGAGATTTAAATTGCTAGGGCATGAACTTTAATTTAATAAGGCTGCACTGAAAAAAATATTGTTCATAATATGAATAAATCACCATCATCAACTTTCGCAAATGAAATTTTTCATTAAGGTAATGAAATACTATTCCTTAATCAATATTACCTTTTATCAATGTTATAAATTCATATTCATCCAGATAATGAATGTCACATCCTTAAATTAAAGTAAAAAATTTACTACCGTAATACAATTTTCATCATAATGATGTTTTTTTTCATTGAATCAATAAATTTTTGTATCGTTTGCTTTCTGGAACTTTAATGAACAGTAATTATTGCAATAATGTCAACGTCATCAATTAATAAATAGAAAACATTGAAGTAACGAACTACATTTATTAACTCAATCAGCAATCTACATTTTATTAATGTATGACTTAATTATGAATTCATTAATATAGCACTTTGTATTTTGTTTTGGTGTCGGGAAATATTTCTAATATTTGTTTAACATATCACCAAAGTTATCCTTTTTCAAGTGCCACTTTATTATTAAAAAAATGTTAATAAATTAATAATTAATACAATGTTCACTTTTTCATCGATAATCATCGGTGAAAAAGTGAACGTCTTTTGAAAGCCGTATATGACATGTCCATGTATGGGATGATTCAACAAAACTGTCACTGTCATCCTCCATAGCCTATGGATGGACCATAGCAACCTTAGTTCTTCCTACAGAAAAAATATTGCAAATTGCAATGTTTTTTAAAAAAATCCATATTTTCCACAAAAAGGTGAACCAAAAATAAATCTGTTATAAGAATAGATGTGATTTAATAATTTAGAACAATATACGGTTTAGCCACTCTTAGAGATGTAAAAAAACGGTTTTTTTTCAGATGTGAAAAAAAAAACATGAAAAAAAACCTAGAAAAAAAAACTGTTTTTTTTTGTTTTTTTTCAAAATGAAATTTTGAGTAAAATGTGGAATATATTACATTTTTCATTATTGAAAATTTTGACAAAGACTAAAAGTTCTGATTACTTATTATTTGGTAGTTTTCACATTAAAAACCAATAGCAATGTAAAACTTTTACTACACTAATACAAAAAATTAAAGGATAAAGATTTTTTTGCGATTTTTCGGATAGCTGTATATTTGTTAAAAATGGTCGTATTGGAGACGTAAAAAAAACAATTTGAAGCTTGAAGTTTATAGTTTTGAGATTTTTAGATGAAAAACATGCAACGCTCAATTCTAAGTTTGAATTTCTAACGAATACCGTAATAAAAAAATTAGATTTTTTTATTTATTTTTTGATCCACGGAATGTTCTGACCACCAATGAAGAAATGTTCTAAAAGAATTTGCTATTGTTTTAAAAAAAAATTCCATACATGAAAAAAGTGCTTTTGGTTGATTTTTGAAAAATCAGGCGCTGAATCAAAAATATTATATGTAGTTACTTTTTTTAGAACCAAATCAAAACAAGCGCGGCCCTTATTGCACAGAAATAAATCTAACATAGTACCAAGAACAGCGCTATCATTGAATGCATTAAAATTGAAGCAATCTAAATTGTTATTTGCTCAATTAATCACTATTAAACCAAAATAGGGAAATATTTTGCCTAAATGTCAAGGATTTTATTAAGTTAAATGTATACATAGTATACATACAATAGTAACGTTATTAAATAAATCAAATTAGTATTTAATGCAATAACATTCTAACAAATAAATATCAATATGAATATCAATAGATTTAGGAGCGATAACTTTTGTTATTAAATTAAAACCAGTAAACGATTATAAACCAAGTGCTAACTACCTATTGGTATTATGGGAACTGTTATTTAGGAATACGGATTACAAGATCCCAGTGGTTTAATGGCTCACCCATTCATGCTATGCTAGCGTTTTTTCTGTGTGGTCAAATCGGTGGTTGTGGCGAGTGCATAACGCGAGACTGTATTTACATTTAATAATTGTCATTTAGTGGCTAATTTTAGTCCATGGAAACATAAAAAATTAGGCAAATCTTGAAAAAAAAAACAAAAATGTGAAGAAAAAAAAACCATTTGAAAAAAACCTGAAAAAAACAAAAAAAAAAACGGACCGTTTTTTTTCAAGTCGCATCTCTAGCCACTCTACAGAGTGTCTTAAACTTATTGTAAAAACTTCTTTTTGTTTAAACCTATATATTATTCTCCATTCCCAATATTTTATTAAAGTGGATATAGCCGGTTTTGCACGGATGCTCCTCAATTGCAATGTTCAGTTTAAGTATCAAGGCTACATTTCAACTACCTATCTTTTTTTTTAACTTACTTTAGCTTTGACTTTGACAAGTTTTATTGTATTTTTATTTTAGAGACAATGGCCTGAATGCTACCAACTTGCAGGAGCAGTGGGCTTTAAATTTCCCTATTTTGCCAAAACACCAATAAGCGATGTAGTGCCACAAGCTGGATCTTTATCAGTAGATCTGTTGGAGAATTTTTTAGACTGGAACCCTGCTAAACGACCAACAGCCCAGACGGCTTTAAAACATCAATTCTTTCAAGTATAAAATGCTTAAATTTAATTTATACATATAACATAATGTTTATTTAGGTTGGTCCACAATTTCCCTTGCAAAATAACCGTCAGATTCAAATAAATAGTGCTGTTAAACAACAATCAAATGTATTTTTACAGCAAAATGAAAACAAGGATTTGTTTGGTCCTTCACTTCCCCAAGTAGATATACAGTCTAATGGACAGTCTTTGAACAATATGCCGCAAAATATGCATCCATCAGTATGAACAGAAAATATGTCGTAATAAGTACTTCAAAAATACGTTTCAGGTACAAATAAACATCCAGTCCCTTATAAAACCCATGTCGGAAGTAGAAAAACCCCAACAGGCAACAATAGCACCAGTAGTTTATAGTTTTGGCCAATCGGACTACGCTAGCAAATACTTTCCTAATTTACAAAATGTTCAACAAAATTTGGGGAGAGCTTTGCCAGCAAAGAAACTATCATGGAACTACGATTACGAAGAGGACGATTTTGCCGATATATTGGGGTAAAAGATAAAAAAAAAATCGAGACTGCAGAAAATAAAAGCCGTAATATTTTTTTGGTATATGAGTCATTCCAAATAAAAACACCAAATGGGGTGCGCTGCTTGATTTTTTATTTTGATAAAAAAAATTGTGGATGATCTTTTAGGTATCAAATATGAAAATCCGTTGCCGTTTTAATTTTTGGATTCTTTACTTTTAATCGGCACCCTTTAGAAATCTGAAATAGTGTCATCTTCTTACTCTCTTATAAGAGGCTAAAACTTTTTTTTTTGGCAATTATTGAAATTATTGTAATTTTATTTTACTGCCTAGTAAGTATGTTTTCAATATTAATTATTATTATCTAATTAGTTCATCTCATAAAAGAATGGTAAACCACTAAAGATTTGTAATAATTTGCCAGATTTTGTGATTTTTGGTGTTTTCATTTGGATTGACTCATATTACACCTATCTCGAAGCCAATCTACTAATAATTTCAACATAATGAAATAAAAATTAAAAAGGCATCAAAATCAACCGCTCTTGTCAAAATTGGTAGTTACATTTTTTATATATGAGTTTCAAATGCTACTTTTGGTTTTAAATTTTTATATGTTGTAATGATGGTATAGGTACCAGGAGCTGAGAAAAAAAATATTGAACTTTCATGTGAATTTTTCAGGAGACAAATGTCTAAAATGACAGGTGACATGTGTCAAAAATAAGCTATAACAGATGTAAAAATGAGCCAAATGTAACGAAAATACTGTAACGTTTTTAACTGTTATTTATTTATTTCTTCGCGAGTACCAAAGCTCAACTGACTGCTCTGTGATGCGTCGTTCCTTATATATTTAGCGCCTATGTCTTCTGGAACATTCCAGCGAGCTCCACACTCTCGATTATTCGAGCGACACCATACCGAGCTTTTTTACCGCTCAAATATAAATACATGAAGTCTTCAAAAGGCAAGCCGTCTTCCGGCGGATTAACTCTCCTTACTCTAGCATCGTCTATTTGATCATTTTTTCCAGCGTAAGGGGCCAATCGGTTGAAATGGATTACTTTCGGCTTTCCTCCTGATCCTGTAGATGATGTCATTTATTCGATCCATGACTTCGTATGGTCCCTCCCAAGAAGTTTGCAGCTTCGGTGAATAACCACGACGGCGCTGAGGGTTGTATAACCAAACTAGGTCTCCAGGTTGAAATCCTCCATTTTTCGCCTTGATGTCATATGCCTCTTTCATTCTATCACTGGCACTCTGGATGTTTAAACGAACTCGGCTGTGAATGTCGCTCATTTTCCTACGTAAATTGCTAACGTAATCTTCTCCAGCAATATCTTCCCCTGGTAGGCAACCAAACCTCAGGTCACAAGGTAAACGAAGTTCACGTCCCATAACAATGCTAGCGGGTGTCTGGCCGGTTGTATCGAATAGAAGAACGGTACGCCAACAGGAACAGTTGGAGGAAGCGGTCCCAGTCTCTTGGGTGATCAGAGACTACCTTCGAAAGGTACCTGTTTATCGTTCGATTCATTCGTTCCACCATTCCATCAGACTGCGGATGTAATGCGGTCGTCCTCGTCTTCCGAATGTTAAGAATCTTACACACATTCTGGAACAATATAGATTCAAAGTTCCTGCCTTGGTCTGAATGCATTTTCATTGGGACCCCAAAACGACAAATCCACTCCTTAATAAGGGCATCGGCCACTGTGGCAGCTTCCTGGTTTGGCAAGGCGTACGCTTCCGCCCACTTGCTAAAGTAGTCCATTACAACGATGATGTATTTATTTCCAGATTCTGTTTCCGGAAATGGACCCGCCACGTCGATTGCAATTCTCTCAAATGGGCTGCCCACATTGTACTGTCGCATTGGGGCTTTTGGGTGCTTCTGGGGTCCATTGCTTGCCGCGCAAACGGCGCACTTCTTGCACCATTCCTTCACATTTCGTTGGCTGTTGACCCAATAAAACCGTTCCCTACCGGTCTTCCCTCCCTTCTGGCATCTCATGAACGCGCTTTAGAAGCCCGTCACTTAAGATGGGCCATTGGGCCCAGTAGGATTTCACATTCGGCGAATATTGGGCGACTTCCTGCCACGTTGGTTTACGGTCGTTCTTCTTCCAATCGATGATAAGACAATGTTTACAGTCTTCCGGGCACGGTCTTCTTGACAAGGCGTCAGCATTTCTATGGATGGTCCCAGCCCGATGTTCTGTGTCAAAGTCGAACTCCTGTAGCCTCTTAATCCATCTTGCTACCTGTCCTTCAGGATTCTTGAATTGCAAAAGCCATTTAAGGGCAGCATGATCCGTTCTTAGCAAGAATTTTCTTCCATACAGGTACTTGTAAAAGTGTTCGACTGATTTTACCACTGCTAACAGCTCGCGTCGAGTAACACAGTAATTTTGTTCTGGTTTGGATAAAGTTTTACTAAAGTAATTTTTTTTCCCTCTTGAATCTGCGACAAAACAGCTCCCAGTCCAACATTGCTGGCGTCCGTGTCCAAAATAAATTCACCATCCGGAAGAGGATAACTCAGGACTGGTGAGCTGGTCAACGCGTTTTTCAGGTTCTTAAAGGCTTCATGGCATTCGTCGTCCCATTGGAATCGTCTTTCTCCGTCTGTTAAACGTGTCAAAGGCTTAGCAACCTTTGCGAATCCTGGTACGTACCGACGGTAGTAGGTGCATAATCCAAGAAAGCTTTTTAAGTCATGTTTGTTCTTCGGTATTGGCCATTCCCGCACCGTCTTCACCTTCTGTTTGTCCACTGCCACTCCTTGACTCAAAACAACATGGCCCAGATACTGCACTTCCCTCTGGAACAAGTGACATTAGCTTGAGGCCAGAACTTCTTAATCGCTGAAAGACTTCCTTCAGGTTCCTCATATGGTCCTCAAATGATTTCCCAACCACAATGATGTCAAGGTACACTAAGCATGTCTTCCAGGATAGTCCCTTCAAAACCATTTCCATGAGCCTTTCAAAAGTTGCAGGGGCATTACATAGTCCAAACGGCATGACAGTAAACTGCCACAGTCCAGCACCCACGGTAAACGCCGTCTTTTCTCTATCTTCTGGTGCCATTTCAACCTGCCAGTAACCGCTTTTCAAATCCAAAGTCGAAAATATCCGTGATCCAGCCAATGTATCCAGGGTGTCATCGATCCTAGGCAGAGGGTAGCTGTCCTTCTTCGTCACGTTGTTCAGCTGATGAATCGACGCAAAATCGAGTTGATCCATCCTTTTTCTTAACTAACACCACATGGGCTGTTAGATGGTTCGATCACCCCTTCCTTCTCCATTTCTTGCACTATTTTATCAGCTTCCTCTCGCTTAGCAAGAGGTAGCCTTCTTGCCGACTGTCGAATGGGCTGCGCATCACCGGTGTTAATTTTATGCTGGACAGTTCTTGTCCCACCCTTCTTTCCTTGTCCGTCGTTAAAAACATCCTGATAATGGTGTATCGCTCTCTTAGCTTTATTCTTTCATTGGGTTTCAAATCCTTTGAAGAAGTCGACAGAAAATTCATCAATTAATTGCTCACTTTCTTGGCCGGGACTGCAGATTCATTCAGATTCATTAATGCCTCTAATAATCGAGGAAACCGAAGAACAGTTCCCCAAAACGATTCCTTTCTTTATGTTCACAGAGTAACCATTAACATTCAATACTCTTACATGCACTTCTTTTCCCACGCGTATTAAAGTCTTCCCTACTACAATTCCTCGACCGACCTCTTTGTCATCAATTCTCGGCTCCAGAAGCATTATACTTCCATCTTCTGATTTACAATCCAAGAAAGCCTTCAATATCATCTCGCTGTTTTCCGGTATCAAAGCATCTTCTGTTAGCATTACACGAATATTCTTTTCTTTAGATCGATGCAACACGACTTCCTCTCCATTTACCCTCAATATTCCTTGCTTAAAGTTTAGTTCAAATCCTATTGACTTCAATAACTTCATCTTCAATATCTGCAACTAATGCTCGATGTTTAAATTTCGAGTTTCCTATGACCATCGTGATGTCCACTTCTCCACGAACAGTAGCGGTTTCTCCTGTTGCAGTACGTAGTCGCCGATTGGTAGATTTGATCTTGGACATTTCGACAATATCTGGCCTAATAATTGTCTTCGTCGCACCTGTATCCAGCAGCAGTACATGTAATTTTCCATTAATTAAACCATCCACAAAAACACTGCTGGACTGGTGTAGAAGAGATGCAACACGTTCGATATCTTCTGGGGCATGCTGGTTACAGGTCGACCGTGGCCCCTTTTCCTCGACTCTATCTAGTTTCCGACTGACGAAGTCGGCGCCACCTGGCTTTCTCTTCGTATATGTCCTAGCTTTCCACATCAACAACACCGGACTTCCTTCTTCTATGGTAGATTTTCTTTAAAAACTCGCCTGATTGCTTCAATTATACTGGGTTCCTCCTCTTCCTCGACTCTCCTTATTCTAGGCTGGCTCCTGCAGCTCTGCTTTGCCCCCTCGAATTCCAAAGCTCGAGCCAATGCATCAACCAGTTGGCTCCCAACCCAATATATGGCCCATGGAGGCCAAACTTAATAGGGGGTATTAAAAAAACCTGCCCTAAATTGCACAAATTTAGTCTTTTTTTTCACCACCAGCGGCGCTGATTGTCGATGCGTACTGACGTCTGCTCTTTTGGTAGCGTTTCGATACAAATCAGGCAATTATTTATTAATAAACGGAACACCAGCGCCCTCTTATCTAAGGAAGATTCTTGTTTACATGAAGTTCAGACTCCTTGTGTAGGCTCCATGACATGGCTATTTTTTTTCTTAACGTATTAGAACAGCGGAAAATAAAGAAGCTATTTTCAATGCCTTGTATACAAATCGTAGGAAGAGCATAAGGGAAGTTGCACGCGAATTTCCCTTTCATTGTTCAGCAGGTTATGAACGACGCACAGTGTTGAGTCAAACCACGTCAAGTGGGACCAGAAAATTTCACGAAATCACCGATTTTGAAAATAATCA